CAATTAATTTCAAATTTCTTAGCATAAAAAGGTAAGGGAAGTAACAGATGTGTTAATTAACTTGGTCTAACCATTCTAAATTGCATATAGATAATATTTCTCTTAAATGTATTTAATTGTGCTTCCAGGCCCCAAACTCCAGCCATCCCAGTCAGGTGAGCTTGGGTCCCCGGGGGGACACTCCCCATCCTCCGCCCGACACCCATCCCCTAGATCTTTCGGGCCACTCCTGGCATCCAGAAGACCTGCCCACACAGGAAAGACATCAGCCCTTCCAGGCCCCAAACTCCAGCAACCCCAGCCAGGCCTCAAACTCCGGCGATCCCAGCTTCAGCTTCAGGAAGGAAGGAGACCAGTGGAGACAGAAAGACCCCACCAGCACCCACTGGAAGAAGAGATGGGAAGAAGACAGAATAAGAGCTCACTCAGCAATAGAAAGACCAACATGACTCCACCAGAATCTAGGGAACCAACGCCAGCAAGACCTGAAAAGCACTACATAGATGAAGCAGAGGAAACAGACCTTAAAAATCATTTTATGAAGATGATAGTGGCCCTCAAAGAAGAAACGAGGAAATCCCTTAAGGAAATAGAGGAAAAAACAAACAAAAAATCCATGAAATGGGGGGGGGGAAATTCAAGAAATAAACAAATCTCTCAAAGAATCTAAAGAGTACCAAGAAAAAACAACCAAACAAATGAAGGAAACAACTCAAACAGTTGAAGGATTGAAAGCTGAAATAGAAACAATAAAGAAAACACAGAACGAGGGGATGCTGGAAATGGAAAAGCTGGGTAAATGATCAGGAACTACAGATGCAAGTATCACCAATAGAATACAAGAAATAGAAGAGAGAATCTCAGGTGTTGAAGACTCATTAGAGGATATAGAGTCGTCAACCAAAGAAAACCTCAAAACCAACAAATCCCTAACACAAAATATCCAGGAAATATGGGACACCGTGAAGAAGCCAAACCTGAGAATAACAGGTATAGAAGAAGGCGAAGAAATACAGCTCAAAGGCACAGAAAACATATTCAACAAAATCATAGAAGAAAACTTCCCTAACCTAAAAAAGGATATGCCTATGAAAATACAAGAATCTTACAGAACACCAAATAGGCTGGACCAGAAAAAGAAGTCACCTCGCCATATAATAATCAAAACATCAAACCTACAGAATAAAGAGAAAATATTAAGAGCAGCTAAAGAAAAAGGCCAAGTAACATATAAAGGCAGACCTATCTGAATTACACCTGACTTCTCAATGGAAATGATGAAAGCCAGAAGATCCTGGATGGATGTCCTATAAACGATAAGGGAACAAGGATGCCAACCCAGACTACTATATCCAGCAAAGCTTTCAATTACCATAGATGGAGAAAACAAAATATTCCATGACAAAGCCAGATTTAAACAATAGGTATCCATGAATCCAGCTCTACAGAACATGCTAGAAGGAAAACCTAGATCCAAGGAAGATAACTACACTCACAAAGACACAGGAAATATATAATACCACTTTACATAACACCAAAAGAAAAAGGGAGGAGAAACTACACAAAATAACTTCACTACCAATAAATCAAGCACAAACAAGAATCATCAATCAATGGTTATTGATATCCCTCAATGTCAATGGCCTCAACTTGCTGATAAAAAGAAACAGACTAGCAGAATGGATACGAAGACAGAACCCATCCTTCTGCTGCATACAAGAAACACATCTCAACATCAAAGACAGACGGTATCTCAAAGTAAAGGGTTGGGAAAAGATTTTCCAATCAAACGGACCCAAGAAACAAGCAGGTGTAGCAATCCTAACATCTAACAAACTAGACTTCAAATTAAAATCAATCAAAAGAGATAAAGAAGGACATTTCTTCTTCTTCTTTTTTTTTTTGGTTTTACGAGACATGGTTTCTCTGTATTGTTTTGGAGGCTGTTGGTCCAGCCCAGCCTTGAACTCACAGAGATCCACCTGCCTCTGCCTCCTGAGTGCTGGGATTAAAGGCATGCACCACCACCGCCCGGCTGAAGAAGGACATTTCATATTCATCAAAGGAAAAGTCCATCAAGATGAAGTCTCAGTTTTAAACATCTACACCCCAAATACAAAGGCACCTACTTTTGTGAAAGAAACACTACTAAAGCTCAAATTGCACATAAAATCTCACACACTAATAGTAGGAGGTTTCAACACTCCGCTCTCACCACTAGAAAGGACCTCAGACAGAAACTTAACAAAGAAACAAAAGAACTAATAGAAGTTATGACCCAACTGGGTTTAACAGACATCTATAGAACATTCCACCCAAACACAAAGGGATATACCTTCTTCTCGGCACCACATGGAACCTTCTCTAAAATTGACCACATAATAGGAAACATAGCAAGTCTCCATAGATACAAAAAATTGGAATAACTCTCTGTATCTTATCAGACCACCATGAATTAAAATTAGAATTCAACAATAACGCAAATCGCAGAAACCCTACAAATTCATGGAAATTGAACAATGCACCATCCCTGGGTAAAGGAAGAAATAATAAAGAAATTAAAGACTTCCTGGAATTCAATGAGAATGAAGACACAACATACGCAAACTTATGGGACTCATTGAAAGCAGTGCTGAGAGGAAAGTTCATAGCACTAAGTGCCCACATGAAGAAACTGGAGAACTGTCATACTAGAGAATTAATAGCACAGCTGAACGTTCTAGAACAAAAAGAAGCAAACTCACCCAGGAGGAGCAGACGCCAGGAAATAATCAAATCGAGGGCTGAAATCAATCAAGTATAAACCAGGAAAACATTGAGAAGAATCAATGAAACAAAGAGTTGGTTCTTTGAGAAAATCAACAAAATAGACAAACCTCCGTCCAAACTAACCAAAAGACAGTGAGCATGCTAATTAACAAAATCAGAAATGAAAAAGGGGACATAACAACAGACTCTAAGGAAATCCAGAGAATCATCAGGGCATACTTTGAAAATCTGTACTCCACAAAATTTGAAAATGTAAAGGAAATGGACAATTTCCTGGATAGATATCACTTGCCAAAACTAAATCAAGAGCAGATAAACAATCTAAACAGACCTATAACCCTTAATGAAATAGAAGCAGTCATCAAAAGTCTCCCAAACAAAAAAAGCCCAGGCCCAGATGGCTTCAGTGCACAGATGGGGAATATGGCGAGGGGTGGGGGGGAGGGGAGCTGGGAAATAGAGTGGGGGAGAAGAGGGAGAGAGTGTAGGTCGTGGAGGAACAGGAAGGTTGACTGGGGGGGTAGGATAAGGGGAAGAGGGAATCATAGGTTAGAAGACAGATCAGGCACCATTGTGACCTCTAGTGATCTAAAGGGATGACACCAATTGGCAAGCTAAGCAATAGTGGAGAGACCGCCTCGAATGCCCATTCCTGATAATGAACTTGATGTCTATAACCATCCGGGAGCCTTCATCCAGTGACTGATGGAAGCACAGGCAAACACCCACAGTTAAATACTGAACAGAACCCAAGGAACCCAGTGACAGAGAGAGAGGAGCGATGAGCAAATTGGCAAAGCATGGGCTGGCAAAACCAGCAGAGATAGCTGATCTGAACAGGGGAGAGCTCTTGGACCCCAGACCAACAGCTGGGAGGCCAGCATGGGACTGATCCAGACCCCCTGAATGTGAGAATCAGTGAGGAGGCCTGGGCAACCTATGGGACCCTGGGCAGTGGATCAGTGACTATCCCTGGAATACAGTCATCGTGTGCCCATAGCACAAAGAGGGATGCTCTCTCAGCCTGGACTCTTAGGGGAGTGCCTGGACCCTACCCTGAGTGAAATGACAGACTCTAGATATCCCCTATGTGGAAGGAAGTGGCGATAGGGTGGGAGGATGGGGAGGGATGGTGGAGGGGTGTGGGAGGAGGGGAGGGAGAGGGAACTGGGATTGACATGTAAAACAAGCTATTTAAAATTAAAATAATAAAAACATTTAAAAAACCAAGATGGCTCATTTGGTAAGAGTGCCTGCCATACTGCTCCCCAGTCCCTACCCCCAGATGCCACACACAAATAAATAAATGTACAACCAAATTTGGACCGGTCAAATGGCTTAGCAGATAAAGGGCTTGCTCATCCACCTAAATTCAACTCCCAGTCCCCAGAGACCTGGCTCCCACAAATGGTCCTCTGACTTCCACACATGGGCATGGACACGCACAGAAAGTGAATAAATAAGCAAATGTAGTAAGAAACTCAGTGCAGGTCCTTCCTAAGTATGGACTTTGTATTTATGGATCAAACAAACTACTTGGAAAAAATATGTTTGCTATGAAAAATGTTGTTTCCTCCTGTCCTTGTCCTGTATTTGACACAATAAGACTTGACTCTGCAGTATTCATATTAGGTGTTAGAAGTAATCTAAAGAAGACTTGAATGTTTGGGAAGGTGTGTAGACTAACATGAATGTTTGACTAGATTCTGAGAGTTGACTGTGTGTTCGACTCAGACCCTAAACTCTGAATCACTGTGTTTCCATTTGCTGCATTGGGATCTTTTGTTGTTATTGACAGGGTATCACAATGTAATCTGGGCTGGCCCTGTAATCCTGTTCCCTCTGCCTCTGCCTCTGCCTCTGCCTCTGTCTCTGTCTCTGTCTCTGTCTCTGTCTCTGTCTCTGCCTCTGCCTCTGCCTCTGTTTGTCTCTATGTCTCTCTGTCTGTCTCTGTCTCTGTCTCTGCCTCTGCCTCTGTCTGTCTCTGTCTCTCTGTCTCTCCCCCTGTCTATTTCTTTCTCATCAACAGGGTTCACTACGTAGCCCTGGCTAACCTGGAACTCACTACAGTGACACCAAGCTGTCTCTGCCCTGCTGTGCTGGGGTTAAAGGCATGCGGCACTATGCTCAGCTTGCTTGGGGTTTCATCATGAGATGAACATGCTTCCAGCACCACGCTGCCTGGATTTGCATCTTGAGCCATGTTTTTCTCCTTGTGACTTTTACCCATTTTGTACACTGTTGATAAAGAAATCATCTCATCCCAACACTACAGAGTAATAGGGGATTATGTCAAGCTGGATTGGATCACTCCTCTTGGAACTGACTGGATTGGAGACCTCACATTCATACTCCCCCGAATATTCCATCCTGAAATGGTCTATGCAGAGGGGCTGTTGTTCTCAGACAGCTTCATCCTGTACGTGAGCTTCAGATCCTTGCCATTGAAGAGCCAATGGATGAAGATCCCAATTTCGTTTGAGTCGCACGTCAGGGACACAGATTCCAGTTCTTTGAATGTGGTGTTGGTGACTTGGGTGGAGGGCGAGGTCACAGGCTCTGTGGATGAACAGTGGAGGGGACCAGCTGAGAGTCCTTCACCCTCAGAGATCTCCGCCAGCTCACAGGGCCCACAGAATGAAGTGGCCCTCTGCAAGATCGCATGATTGTGTTCAAGATATGGTCTGTAAGGAGGGAGCTGAATCTTCCTGCTACCCAGATCACCCACAGTGACCCCTGACTCGGGGCGTGTGTAGAGGCCACACTCGGAGCCTCTTCAGCCCACGTGTCCACAAATCTCATGGGGGATGTTTTTTTCCATTGATTTTTGTGCCAATTCTTGTCTCACACTTTGTGTGAGTGTGAACAGACAAATCCCTACATTATAAAATGGCTTTCTATTTCTTTTTCATTAAATAATTTGCCATGGGTTAAGATGGCCAAGCTAATCTTAGAGGTGTTAAAGCCTAGACCTCAGGACTGGGAGAAATCCTAAACTGAAGAATTTCAATCTGAAAATTTTTATTTCCTGCCCAATGAATGTGGATTAATACCACAGAGAAGAAATGCATGGCCTCAGTGTTGATAACAGCCAGCCACTATAATTCTTGAAACTGATTTTGTTTTTTTTGAGACAGGGAATCATTGTACAGTCCTGGCTATCCTGGAAGTTGCTGTGTAAACCAGGCTGGCCTGAAACTCACAAAATCTCCCTTGCTTTCCCTCCTTAGTGCGGGCAATAAAGGCACGCACTGCCAACATTTGTTTTTCATTTTTGTGCTTTCTTAACATGCATAGCCCAGGCTGGCTTGAAACTCATGATCCTCCTGCCTCAGCCTCAATCAGCAAATCCTGTCAGCTTGTGCCACCACAACTGGTAACATTTGCTTTTTAAACCTTGAGAAGAATAAGGGAAACAGCATCATCAAATTGTGAGTGACATGGTTCACCCTGACTCAGAGCAGGGCTCCCAGACACATTCTCCACCCACTCTTTCCATCCTATGGAGTCAGCTGAGCCAGACACCCAAGAGACAGGAGCTGAGTTGGGAGCAGAGCTCTGATCTGCTGTCCCCATCTGTGCAGAGTTTTCTCCTCACATTTGGAGAAAGAGAATGTGAGTATACTTGAAAGACCTGGGTGTTCCTTCTAGGTCATGGAGACCATAAGAAGAAAATGGAGGGGACAGGAGTGCTTGTGTTAGTGACAGAAAGGTATCTTGACCTTAAGACCCCTGGGAGGTCCCTCACCCGGGCTGAGGCTTTCCAAGGCTGGGAGAGCCCCCTCCTCACATTCCAAGCTCCATCCCTATCAGCCAGGGGAAGTCAGAGAAGCAGGAGACCATTAGACATAGGGATGGAGCAGGAATCTCGGGGAGGATTGAGTTTTGTCTATTCCAAAGACACAGTCTGGAAGTTAAATCCCTCTGCATCTTCCCAGAAAGCCAAAAGACTGCACTCCACACCTGGTGCTGACATTACAGAGATCCACTTACCAAGGACAGTAATGTTCTTGACTGTGGTCCTATTGAGGCCAGTGACAGAGTTATGGACGAGGCAGGTATAGGATCTGCTATTATTAGTAGTGATGTTGGGGATAAAGAGCTCTTGGGAGGATGCCTGGAGCTCTCCATTGACAGACCAGGAGTACTGTGCGGGTGGGTTAGAGGCTGCGTGACAGGAGAGGCTGAGGTTTGTCCTTGACTGGAAATGAGTATCTGAGGGGGATATGATGGGGACATCTGGACCATCTGGAGCAAACAGAAGAAAGCCACATGTGATGTCAGCAGAGGGAAGGGGAAATCCTGGTCTGCAGAAGGCCATGGAATCTCTTTAGCTGTGCTATAACATTAGATGAACAGCTACCACCCAGAGCTGGGTGTAGATTAGTCGAAGAGTATTCATGCAGCATGCACAAGCCCTGATCCACCCTAAGCACAACACACAGACAGCCCCACTGTACACTCGTGTGTGCACTGAGCCTGAGTCTGAGCTGTCCCCTGTCTCCATCACCCTGAGTCTCTCTAGGCAGAAGAAGTCCCTCCAGCTCCTTCTAGCTAATGCTAGGCCTAGCTGTATGTGCTTGGGCTAGCCAAGGATGCCCTGGCCAGCATAGGTGTATGTGTGGTGGGTCTGTGTTGTGAACCCAAGGGTCCTGAGTATCCTAGCTCTAGCCATCTGTATTTAGGTGTTGTAGCCAGGATGAAACAGGCAATACTCACAGGTAATGTTCAGAGTCAATGGGTCACTTCGGGAGGTGCTCACTAGATTCCGGGTTTCACACTCATAGGGTCCAGTGCCAGTCCTCACAACAGTGAGTAAAGTGAGAGTTCTGTTGTCGATGGACAGCTTCAGCCTGTCACCTTCTGAGAGGCTTTGGCCATTTATCCTCCACAGGTAGACTGTATTCTGAATCTCAGGCTCACATATTAAAGCTACCAAGTCCTCACCCTCCATGGGATTAGAATTGTTGCTTGTGATGTTGGGCTTGGGTAGCGGTGCTGTGCAGACAACAGAGAGAAGATTGCCCTGTCTGGTACCTCTGACTCTTGCAAGGGCCTGTCCCAACCAGAGACAGTCTCTTATCTCCATGCCTACCCAGATCCTTAAGGAATCAGGCAGGAAGCAAATGCCAGGCAGATGGAGTAGCTGAGAGCTCAGAGGTCATGGGGCCTCCTGAGATGTGTATGGGAGAGGCAAGGGCTTTCTCGTGAGGGAATTGAGTGCAGTGTGTGGGGATGGACAGACTCAAGCCTTGGAATCAGAGACCTCATTTTATCTCCTGGTCCTCACTGACCCATTGCAGGCCTTGAGACGCAATGTGTGAGTCCCTCCAGCTGCACTGACCTCCACTGCTCAGTGTAGACCAGTGTCCTCCAAGCCTCTGCTCTTCAGGGCTGTCCTACACATAGGTCATGATTAGTCTTCCCATTGAGCTTCCCTGAGAAACCTGACAGCCTGTCAGAGATCTCACACAGATCAGGATCTGGCTGGCATTCGGGTGGGGAGGAACAGAGGTGGACCATTCTTGTCAGTTGTTTGAGTCTACGAAATGATCTAGAAGACTGAAGGGCACCTACTAAGCTCTCCATGGTTGGGAGGCCAGAGATGTACTGTGGACAGGTAGCTTGTGCCACCCATGGCCTGTGTGACGCTGACTCAGTGACTGTGTTTCCTGTTCCATTTTCCCTATAATAGGACACAAGTTAAATGATCATTGCCATGCCTGCATGCTAACCTTAAATGTGAAGTGACCTGACCTTCCATCAAGCAGTATCTTCGACCATTTGCCTGCAGGAAATAATCCCTGGGATGGACCTGAGGAGGGCAAGGGGCTGCCATTCGTACACTTTTCCTCCTGTCTCTTCAGGGCTCTTGACCTTCCTGTGAGGTCTCAGAAGACCACAGAACAGCTGGCTGACTGCCTCTCACACCTCCCCACCTATGCTGAGCACCCTGAGATGCCCGGGGACCCACCTCAGACATGGCTCTCATAGGCTGACAGTCAGCAGGCCACCAGCCTACAATCAATCATTGTCCCCTGTCAGCTCCAAAGGGAGGTCAAACTCCAACCCAGTCTACAAGCTTCCCTGGGTTTCCAGTCCAGTCTGGGATGGAGGTCTGGAACAAAGCTTCCGGTGCTCATCTCTCTGTGAGACTCTGATGGTTTCCTCAGCCAGGCCCTGCCTGAGTCCTGAAGCATCTTTCTCAAAGCTGTGTTCATGATGAGCATCTAAGACCCTGGGCAGAGTCTGTCATGCCTGGGCTCAGGTACCTCACGCCTCTTCTCTGAGCGTGGATTCCAGAGAGCCATCCTGATTTATTGCTGTTTTCTCCCCTCTGTGTCCTTTACTAAATGATTGAACCACAATGTGGGGACCATAACACAGAGTCATCCAGGACTGACAACCCTGTGTGTGGAGTAGGATCATGTCCCCCCACTTCCCAGAGGTTACAGATAATTAAATTGAACTGCACGGGTTCTGTCGGATTATCAAAGTTTTCCATTAGCATACGTAATGTGTAGGTTCCTGTGTCATTCTTACTGACACCCTAGAAGAGCAAGAATCCATTCTGGTATGTTCTCTCTCTGCCTCTGTATGCAGGCCCTGCTTTATTTGTATTGAGAGGTATTAGAAATTGTGCAAAATCATTATTCACAACCAAATCCTTCCTCTTGTGCCAGGGGAAGAGGCTTTGAGAGTCGCTGGCAGATTGTGGACCTGTAGAAGAACGTTTGAGGAACTGCTTCAACCGTGACTTGGCCACTGACAGGAGAGTTCCAGTAGGTTAGAAGTGAGGCTAAGAGGGAAGAGAGAAAATCTATCAACCATAGGATCTTTGCATTTTCTAGAAATGTGAAACCAGCGTGCGCTCAACTCTCAGCCTTGGTGTGTGGGCGTCCTGTTGTGGGAGGTCAGCAGCATCACCTCCATCCCTCAGAACCCCCAAATCTGTCCCCTGAATGACAGTGTCTGCTCGGGTGTCTACACAGCTCACCACTCACTCCCTCAGATCCCTGCTCACACTCAGAATCTATGGGGAGTGTAGGCATGTCTTCTCTGACCTCCTCCTCTACAGACTCTCTGCCTTCATTTTCTGCCCTTTCCCTGCTCTGTTTCTTCTGAAGTGCTTGTCACCCCTGAGGCCACCTTCTAGATGTCCTTGCTGCTGTCTTCATGGCCAGTAGCACTAGGCCTTTGTGAGGAGGACTAGTCTGATTTTGGTTTAAACCCCACTGCCCGGAACATCTCAGACACCTGTGAGCAGTCAGTGTCCCAGAGCCTGGGGTTTATTTGCAGATTTCTCAGGGTCCTATGTCATGTTGCTGCTTACTGACCCCAGTTTGAATTTTACTTGGAGAGTCACCTGACAGAGTTGTGACCGTCAGTCTTCAGGACACAGGGGCCAGTGCTGATGAACTTACGAGGGGGAACAGCTGAGTTTCCCTCCCCACTTAGCAATTAACTTTCACTGTGAGCTTCCTGTTGCTCTCAGGCTCCAAGCAGAAGCCAGATGGCCCTTCTCAGGCTCTTTCTCTCTCCCAGGGACCCCACCCCGTCTCTGCTCTCCACCCCCAGGAATGTCTCCTCACCTGCCAGCAGGAGACCCCTCCAGGGGACCTGCCCTTTGTGGAGAGGGGCTGAGGTGAGCTCCATAGTCTCTGCTGCCTGTTAGCCCTTCCTCTGGAGAGGTTTGTCTCTCAGGCTGCTGTCAAGCCTGGCAGCTCTGCTGTCTGCTCTGCTTATCTTCCCAGGCCTGAGCCTCCTCCCCGAGGAGGCACCTCCTGGAGTCACATGGGCTGGGGTGGAGTCTGTGTAAGTTCTGCCTCCAGTCCTATTCCTTTCTGGTTCAGTGTTCTAGAACACACTTTGAGTCACAAGACTGAGAAGTGTCCCGTGTTCCTAGAAACAACAGCTCACACCAGGGCTGCCCTCTGCTGTGTCCTGACCTTGTCTGTCAGCACCAGAGGGAGTCCCTGCACTTCTACAGCCAAGAGTGTGTTTCCTTGTGATGCAGAGACCCAGTTGAGCCCAATCTGCCCTGTGTTCCCAAATCTCTGGGAAGGTGGGAGTTACTCTGGGCAGGGGGTGGAGTTGTCTCTAGTGATTGGAAAAGGTCTACTGAGTGATGACTGTTGAGGGCCCGGATCCATTGTCATTGGTGTCACCAGTCGCCAGTCTGATCCAGGCATACAAGTTCTGTCAGGGGTTGTATATCCTGGTGGGCAGGAGGAGGTGACCTGTGTGTCCTAGAAAGAGGACTGTGTGCTCCTGCTTCCTCTGGAGGGCACGGGGAGACACCCTCATCCCCCAGCCTCCTGTGATGACTGAATGTGATTCAGGTCTGCCCATGCCCTCCCTGACCTTTCTGGATACCTTGTTCTCGTTGCTGATTGCCCCGTGATCTCCCCTATTTCCTCACAGATGAGGTGAAGAGGGAGAGAACTACATGGGGTCCTCTTGCAGAATGGGCTTCTCAGAGACACAGGAAGTGATTATGTGAGGGAGCTCCAGCTGTTGGAATTGGGATGGAGACAAGTTTACAAGATAGCTTCCCACCTCAGGGAGAGTTTTCCCTGTTGACATGTGGTGTATTGCCGCCCCTGGTGTTCATGAGGAGACCTGCAGCTCACGTCTGGGCTGCACAAGGATGGCAGCCAAGCTCCAAATGCTGTCAGGAGCTGAGCATCAAGTTTCCCAGGAAAGGTCCCAGTGTGCAGCTGCCCTTGAGGATCTAGTAGATCTGTGCTGAGGTGAGACTGTAACAGTTGAGGTTTTATACCAACTGCCACTTGATCTGCAGCTCCACAGAGACTGGTGATGTTGAACCCCTTTCCAGTGTTTTATTAGATTTTAGTGCATTTAGTTCTTGGCCAGGAGTATCCAAGTCTTTGTTCACTCTAAAATAGTTTCATTCCAGCTTTTAGATTTTTTTTTGGTTTTTACGAGACAGGGTTTCTCTGTATTGTTTTGGAGGCTGTCGGTCCAGCCCGGCCTTGAACTCACAGAGATCCGCCTGCCTCTGCCTCCCGAGTGCTGGGATTAAAGGCGTGCGCCACCACCGCCCGGCTCCAGCTTTTAAATTTTAAAGCAAAGTATGTTCACTGACTAGCAAGAAGATATTTTAAACTAAAAGTTCATCAGTGTTAGATCTTGGACCCATTGCCAATGAACTCATATATTATCCCAGTCACACCATTGTCACCTGTATTCAGGGAGTCTAATTTGGTCTTATGCAGGTTCCCCATTTGTCAGACCTGAGTCAGTGATCTCTCACTAGCTCGGGTCAGCTGATTCTGTGGGTTTCCCCATCGTGGTCTTGACTCCTTTGTTCATATTATCTCTCTTCCCTCACTTCCATTGTACCCCAGGAGCTTGGCCCATTGGTTAGTTGTGGATTTCTGCATCTGCTTCCATCTGTTTCTGGATGAGGGCTCTACCTTCTCTGGGGTTGTGGATTGTAGGCTGGGAATCTTTTGCTTTATGTCTGTTATCCACCTATGTGTAAGTCCATACTATATTTGTCTTTCTGGTTTTGGGTTACCTCACTCAGGATGTTTTTTTCCAGTTCTGTCCCTTTGCCTGCAAGTTTTAGGATGTCATTGTTTCTTACCACTATGTAGTTCTCCATTGTGTAAACATACCACATTTTCTTTATCCATTCTTCAGTTGAGTGGTATCTAGACAGTTTCCAAAATCTGGCTCTTACAAATAATGTTGCTATGAACATAATTGAGCAAATGTCCTCATGGTGTGAATGTGTCTCCATTGGGTATATGCCCAACAGTAGTATTCTGGGTCTTGAGGTAAGTTGATCCCTAACTTTCTGAGAAATTTACATACTAATTTCCACAGCAGCTATACAAGTTTGTACTTCCACTAGCAATGGAGGAGTGTTCCCCTTTCTCCACAGAATATGCTGCCATTAGTGGTTTTGATAAGAGCCATTCTGATCTGTATAAGATGAAATCTCAGAGTCATTTTGATTTGCATTTCCATGATGGCTAAGGATGTTGAGCATTTCCTTAAGTGTCTTTCCAACATTTGAGATTGTTGAGAATTCTGTTTAGATCTGTACCCCATTTTTAAACTGTTATCTGGTACTTTGATGTGCTTGAGTTCTTTTATATTTTGGAGATCAGCCCTCTGTCAGATGTGGGGTTGCTGATGATCTTTTCCCATTCTGTTGGGAGCTGTTTTGTCTTGTTGACCATGGTCTTTGCTTTACAGAAGATTCTTATTTTCACAGGTCCCATTTAGTAATTGTTGCTCTCAGTGTCTGTGTTACTGGTTTTCTATTTAGGAAGTGGTCTACTGTGCCTATGTGTTCAAGTGCATTTCCTAATTTCTCTTCTATGCTGTTCAGTGCAGCTGGATTTATGAGGTCTTTGATCCATTTGGACTTGAGTTTTGTGCATGGGGATAGACATGGCTCTATCTGCATTCTTCTACATATTAACAGCCAGTTATACCAGCACCATTTGTTGAATATGTTTTCTTTTTTCAATTTTACGTTTTTAGCTTCTTTGCCAAAAAAATAGGTGTTTATATGTGTGTGGATTGATATCAGGGTCTTGGATCCTATTCCTTTGATCTACCTGTCTGTTTTTATGCCAATACCAAGCTGTTTTCATTACTATAGCTCTATAGTAGAGATTGAAGTCTGGGATGGTGCTCCTAGATGATCCCTTAATGTACAGGATTGTTTTGGCTGTCCCGGGTTTTTGTTTTTCCGTATAAAGTTGAATATTGTTCTTTCAAGTGCTGTAAAGAATTGTGCTGGGATTTTGATGGGGATTGCATTCAATCTGTAGATTACTTTTGTTAGGATTGCCATTTTTACTATGCTGATCCTACCTATCCAAGAGCATGGATTCCATTTTCTGGTATTTTCCTTGATTTCTTTCTTTAAAGACTTGAAGTCCTTGTCATACAGGTCTTTCACTTCTTTGGTTAGAGTTACTCAGATATTTTATATTATTTGTGGCTATTTTAAAGGGTGATGATTCTCTGACTTCTTTATCAGCCAATTTGTCATCTGTATATAGGAGGGCTACTGATTTTTTTTAGTTAATCTTGTATCCTGCTACATTACTAAAGGCGGTTATCAGTTGTAGGAGTTCTCTTGTAGAATTGTTGGGGTCACTTACATAAACTATTATATCATTAGCAAATAGTGAGAATTTGACTTCTTTTCCAATTTGTATCCCTTTGATCTTTTGTTGTATTAATGCTATAGCTAGAACTTCAAATACTATGTTGAATAGATACGGAGAGAATGGACAACTGTGTCCTGTTCCTGATTTTGGTAGGATTTCCTTGAGTTTCTCTCCATTTAGTTTGATGTTGGGTGTCAGTTTACAGTATATTGCCTTTACTATGTTTGGGTATGTTCCTTCTATCCCTATTCTCTCCATGAACTTTATACTGAAATGTTGAATTTCGTCGAAGGCTTTTTCAGCATGTGGTTTTTCTTTTTCAGCTTGTTTATATGGTAGATTACACTGATGGATTTTCATATGTTGAACCATCCCTGCATCTCTGTGATGAATCCTGCTTGGTCATGGTGGATGGTCTTGGATTCAGTTTGCCAGTACTTTTTGAGTATTTTTGCATCTATGTTCATGAGGAAATTGGTTTGTAATTCTTTCACAGTTACGTCTTTTTTTTGGGTATCAGAGTAATTGTAGCCTCATTAAAAGAGTTTGTCAATGTTCCTTCTATTTTTATTGTGTGGGAAAATATGAGGAGTGTTGGTATTAGATCTTCTTTGAATTTCTGGTAGAATTCTGTACTGAATCCATGTGGGCCTGGGCTTCTTTTGATTGGGAGACTATTGATAACTATTTCTATTTCCTTAGGTGTTATAGGTGTATTTAAGTTGTTTATCTGTTCTTGGTTTAATTTTGGTAGGTGATATCTGTCCAGAAAATTGTCCATTTCCCATAAATTTTCCACTTTGTAGAGTACAGGTTTTCAAAGTATGAGGAAGGGTAATTTTAAAGAGACAATCTTTCCTAATAAGCTCACATACATGCTGTACTTTGTATGGGTCCTCTGAATGCTCTCTCAACATGTAACAGAGTTTTCATGTAAAACGGGTCCTTAGCTATTTCCACATGTGACTCTATGCTACCACCTCTCTGGGAGGCCCAAAGGTGAAGACTTGGTTTCATCGTTTAAATGTCCCTGTACAAGGCAGTTCTTGTAAGTATTGCCAACGTAGGGTGCATTATTATTAAAACAAGAATTCTACCTATAGAAATTATAGCGAGGAAGGCCAGAGCTTTAGGCATGGAGCAGTGTCAAGGCAGCCAGGAGCCTCAGGCCCCCAGCAGCAACGAAAGCTGGTCCAGCTTCAGGCCCCCAGCAGCATCGAAAGCTGGTCCAGCTTCAGGCCCCCAGCAGCATCGAAAGCTGGTCCAGCTTCAGGCCCCCAGCAGCATCGAAAGCTGGTCCAGCTTCAGGCTCCCAGCAGCATCGAAAGCTGGTCCAGCTTCAGGCTCCCAGCAGCATCGAAAGCTGGTCCAGCTTCAGGCTCCCAGCAGCATCAAGGGAGCTAGGAGCTCCAGACCTGGGAACAGTGTCAGAGGAGGTCACAGCCTTACAGAGCAGATCTCATCTTCCCAGCCTCTAGTTGGAATTTTCTTTGGGACACCAACCAGCTCCCAAATAAAGACATGGAGACTCATTCGTTATGAATGCTCGGCCTCAGCCTAGCTTGTCCCACTAACTCCGTTACCTTGATGTAACTGTTTCTATTCATCTATGTTTTGCCTCAGGGATTTTTACCTTTCTTTCATCCTGTATCTCCTATTTCCCTGCTTCCTCCCTGTCTGTCTGTCTGTCTGGCCCACGGCATCTCCTTGGTGTCTCTCTTTCTTTCCCGAGGCTAAATTCCCCCTCCCACTTTCTCTCCCTGCCCAGAAGCCCCAGCTACACCTCCTCCCTTGCTATTGGCCACTCAGCTTTTTATTAGCCCAATCAGGTATCTTGGTCAGGCAAGCTAAAACAGCAACACATCTTTACATAGTTCAACAAATAATTGCGCAACACCAGCCTTCAGGTCTGTAGGTCTTCACCGCCTTCCCAGCCACGGGAGACCAAGCCAGTGCTGAAGGGAGACTCAGTCCACCTAGGCTAGACTGGCCTGAGGGAACCACGTGTCCAGGAGTAAGTTCCTCACACTAATGCCTTCCTCAATACATGTGAAGGTTGTGGTCTTTCATCCTCCCTTTCGAGACTCTCTGCTGCATGTGTGCCATGGGCCACTGTGCTCCTCCTTGTCATAGGAGCATGTCACTGATAAACACCACTGAGGAGAGGATAATCAAGGCTGTGTGAACCGGGAGATCTCCTGAACTGAATAATCCAGGTCTCTGTCCTTGTTGCCTCTCCTCCTGTCCTAAGCACCTATGTCTGCAAAGCAGACTCTGTAGGAGGCAAATCCTCTAACTGGCCATGGGCATCACCCGCTCAACTCCACCCCACATCGGCCACCACCTCCTGCCACCTCCTTCAGCTGCAAATCAAAGTCTTAGATCACTTTGCACTTCTGTGTCCTGGTGACACTTCTCTGGCTTCCCCAGGTCATAGCAAGCCCTCCCCGTCTGTGTCCTTAGTTCCCTGGGGCAGACGAGGGCTTCCCCTCTTTCACCCTTAGCCTGCTCACCTGCATCTGCCCACTACAGAGTCTAAAGGTGTGGAGGAGCTCACCACTGTGTAGCTCCCAGCACAGACCAAAGGAGGAGGAGCCACGCCCTCTCCCTTGTGTCTCATGTCAGCCTGCTCTGGCCTTCAAAGGAAGGACTCCATTCTGATCAGTCTTCTCAGGTCTAACCTTTTCAAAGTGTTAGCTCCTGTTGGTAGAGTTGAAGGCATATGGCTGGGAAAACTCTTAAGTCTCCTCTAGAAAACAGTGAATAGATCATGCAAAACAATGTGCCAAAAATGCACCATGGAGTTTTGGATATTGCCTTCTTAAGACATACAGGAAATGTGGAGGTGGTGGCCCACACCCTTAATCAGAGCACTTGGGAGGCAGAGGCAGGCAAATCACAATGAGTTTAAGGCCAGCCTGGTCTACAAAGCCAATTCCAGGATAACCAAAGCTGTTACACAGAAAATCCATCTTGAATCTCCCCCCCCCCAGAAAAACCCTACATAAAACAGGAAATACTTTGGCTTTTTATCCTGTGGTAATACAGCCATGCTGGAGTCTCTCAATTCCATGATCCCATTAGGGATACTGGAAGATGAAATTAAAACAGAAAAAACTGGGAGAAGAGGACTGGGATGTGGGCCTGACTCCTGTGACCCAGAAAGTCCTAGGACTGCAGTAATCCTCTGAGGGCACAGTGATACTGGCAAATATTTCCATGATGTCACTAACCAAGATGAGGGCCACGTCACATGAGTACTAGGTGACCAACTGAAGTGCTGTCATTTGGATCTTCATTTGATCTCTCAGCTCTTAGGTAGAAGGTAGGATCCACAGTCCCTCTGTAGGACATTTCTTAGCAGTCATTTCTATGTTTATATATGCTTCCTGCCTTTGTCTCTCTATACCTGTGGTGTGCATGCCTGCGTGTGTGTGTGTGTGCGCGTGTGTGTGTGAGTGTGTGTGTGTGTGTGGTGATGGAGGTGGTAGTGGTGATTGGTGGTGGTTTGCCAGCATTTATGTCTGTACATCATGTCTGTCTGGTACCCACTGAGACCTGAAGATGGCATCAGATCCCCTGAGACTGGTTACAAAAGGTTGTGAGCTGTGTGGTTGATGGGGATCCGAGTCCTCTGGAAGAGCGTCCAGTGCTTGTATCCACAGAACCACGTCTCCAGCCCCATCCCTGGCCCCTCTCCAGCCCCAGCCCTGGTCCCTCTCCAGCCCCATCCCTGGCGTCTGTTGAGTACTCTCCACTGTATGAAGTCAGGTGGGGACGGACTTGGAGTCTTTTTGCTGATGCAGCCTTTTCTGTCTCTGCTCTCCCGCACAGGGGTGAGGCGGAAGTGTCCAGGAAGACAGACAGAGTGAGAGTGGAGGATGACACAGATGGGTGGTGACAAAGGGGGAAGTGGGATCAAGAGGAGAATCTGGAGTGTGACAGGACCCTGGACAGCTCCAGGGAGCTGAGGTGGCAGTAGTCCCTGCAAGGGAGACCTGGGAACAGAGTGGGCAAACATCGAGGACGGCTTCATGTGCTTGCTGAAGGCCTGGCCACCTAGCTTTGTGGGACTAGGGAACAAGTCACAGCTGAGAGGTGACCTGGAATCCCCCATGGACATGCATTGGAGCTTGTAGCTCTCCACCATGGACCTGCAGCTGTGACCAACCAGGACGGTACCTGTTGGCAGGACCTTGGCTTTCATGGCCTGCATTTTGTACAGCAGAAATGCCATGACAGGAAACAGGTGCAGAGTGGCTCCGACTGGACTCCTGAAACTGTACACAAGCCTATCTACATTGTCACCCTTCTGGTGGCAGAGACCACATGCCGGGAACTGCACACGTGGTCGTCTAACTGTCAGAGGACTTTCCGCAGTGGAGGCCACCCCCTACCACAGCCCGTTATTCTCGACACTGGCAGTTTTCTGGTTCCCCTGCTACAGTGGACTCCATAAACTACTCTTGCTGCTGTGGTCTAAAGGTGCGGTCCTTCACCCACAATCCCTTCCCTGTATCCCCGGCCACCGAGTCCGTTATCTGCCTTTCTCTCTGCTGACTCTGAGGCCTGGGGCTGCAGGGTTGTGTCAGTGAGGTTATCTCCTCCTCCACCCCCCTAGGGAGGGTCAGGAGACTGGGAATAGATGAGCAGCACAGCTTCCGGGACGCGTCCCATCCATGTGTTTTTACTTTGGAAGACGGTTGCTGTTGCTGGAGGAGATGGGGAGCCTGAAGTTAGTGCTTTGGGTTGCCAGGCATTGATCTTCAGGAAATAATATGAAGCTTCATCCATCTGAAAAATATGATCGTTACAGCCAGTCTGAAAGACAAAGTGAGAGACAGACAGACAGACAGACAGACAGACAGACAGACAGAACACGTGTGCATCTCAAGGACAGCATGCAGCCCGGGTCTGGGTCTCTTCTTTGACCTCTGGATCCCTGGATGCAATCAGGGATCACATTTGTAAACTGCGCTTTACCCACTAATCTGTCTCATCCACCTGAATCCAGGTTTTTGTGTTTGTTTGTGTGAACCAGCTCCCATGTAGGCCCATGGCACACATGCAGCAGAGAGTCTCGAAAGGGAGAATGAAAGACTACAACCTTCACATGTATCAGGGAAGGCATTAGGGTGAGGAACTTATTCCTGGACATGTGGTTCCCTCAGGCCAGTCTAGCCTAGGTGGACTGAGTCTCCCTTCAGCACTGGCTTGGTCTCCCGTGGCTGGGAAGGCGGTGAAGACCTACAGACCTGAAGGCTGGTGTTGCGCAATTATTTGTTGAACTATGTAAAGATGTGTTGCTGTTTTAGCTTGCCTGACCAAGATACCTGATTGGGCTAATAAAAAGCTGAGTGGCCAATAGCAAGGGAGGAGGTGTAGCTGGGGCTTCTGGGCAGGGAGAGAAAGTGGGAGGGGGAATTTAGCCTCGGGAAAGAAAGAAAAAGAGACACCAAGGAGATGCCGTGGGCCAGACAGACAGACAGACAGGGAGGAAGCAGGGAAATAGGAGATACAGGATGAAAGAAAGGTAAAAATCCCTGAGGCAAAACATAGATGAATAGAAACAGTTACATCAAGGTAACGGAGTTAGTGGGACAAGCTAGGCTGAGGCCGAGCATTCATAACGAATGAGTCTCCATGTCTTTATTTGGGAGCTGGTTGGTGTCCCAAAGAAAATTCCAACTAGAGGCTGGGAAGATGCGATCTGCTCTGTAAGTCAGACAGGAGACAGTGGCTGGTGTTCAGGATGCCAGGGAAGGACAGGTAGGTGGTGGAACCTTCTGGCTTCCCTAGGGTCAGTGCCTTTACTTACTGTGAGTGGACGGTGTCCGATTGTCCTCACTGAGAATGTTCTTACATCTGGTTCTAAATGAAGAGGAGAGACTGTCACCTGTGTTTGGTTCTGAGTTGGGAAGGACCCTGGGAGCCGATGATAACTGGGAGCCGCGAGGTGTCCTTGCTGTGTGTTCACACCATGGCTGCCACTCCTCTCTTACTGCTGCCTCCTTTCCCAGTCTCACGGGGCCCCTCCTAGTGTCTGATCCTCTCACCCTGTCGTGTCTGCTGTCTTCCTGACTGGTGCTGGGGGTCCCACGGGGGAGTGGGACATCCCGAGTCCAGACATCTCTTCTTTTCAGTGCTCGGCACATTCTGTCTTCACACCATACCCCCTTTGTCTCCCACTGGCAGGAACTTTTTTCTCACTGGTTGTCCCTGGGGATCCTGAGCCTTCTGCCTCCACTAGGCTGCCTCAGTCTGTCCCTCCACCCTGTTGCTGTGTTCACAAAATATAGAGAGCTTACCTTCTTCTTAGCCTGTTCCACTTTGTGGGTGTCTTTGTGGGTGTCTTTGTGGGTGTCTTTGGGGGTGTCTTTGACGTTGCTTGGCTTATCATCTGCTTGTTTTATGTCATCCTTCATTTGATTTACGTTTTCCTCTTTACCCGGCTTCCTGTTGAAACAGGAAGACAATGCATTTTTAACCTTCTCAGGGAAAGGAGTGACCATGACCCACAGACAGTGGTGTAGAGGACACAGGAAGGCGGTGATGTGAGGACCATAGACATGACTGAGAAGCAGACAGCAAAGAGAAGAAGATGGGGCCCTTAGGGCAGGGGGAGGAAGCCCTTCACTCTCCCAAGCATGGAGGACATGCAGGTATAGCTAGAAGAGTGTAAGTCCCTGTACCTGCCACGACTGGTTGTTGACAGGAAAACCACGAGAATTATTAGCGCAGCCAGTGCCAGCAAACATTGAGCAACAATGCCAATGGTACTCCCCAAGGAGAGCTGAAATTTCTTTTTTTGAGGTTTATCTATCATGGAGAGAAAAGATAAAAGCATCACAATAAATCCATCCTCACTGGGCCCCTGGAAAAGAACTCTGTGATGTTGTGAGGTATCTGTGTGCTCCTTTGGGGATGCACTTCCTATAAGAAGTTAGCTTAGGAGAGGAGAGGCAATCAGCAGGGTTTGCTCTCCCTGTTTTCTCATAAGTACTGGGTTTCTAGGTTGTCCTTGCCTGTGGAGGGAGAAGGAGGGTGCGTTAGCCTGCAGCCTAAGTCACGTCTAGTCTGGCAGTTCTTGGAGCCCCTCAAGATGGGGGAAATCCATATAGCTTTTTATGTCAATATTAGTGTTTTTAAGTGTGCTAATCATTTTCTCATTGTCCTCATTGTGGTGGATGTGAGTAGTCATCTTTCTGGTTTCTTGTGGCCAGGAGTTAATTGACAGAATGTCAAGACTGAGTGTACTCTAAATGACCACCTTTTCCTCTCAGGGACTCTGTCTTAGTTACTGTCTCTGTTGAGGTGATAAAATGCCACAATCCAGGACCACCTCCCCAGGCTTGGCAGTATTGCCAGGGAGGTGGACCCATCCACATCAGTCCTTTGAAGGAAATGTCCCCAGGTTTTCCACAGGTCAGTCTGGTGGAAGGCAGCATCTTCTCAACAGAGGTTTCATGTCCCCAAATGAGTTAGTTTGAGTCAAGTTGATATACAGCTTGCCAATACAGACCCCCAACTCCCAGAGCTTTCAGCCAGGGGTATGAAGACAAACCTTCTATGGTGGGTGACTCTCATTCCTGACTGGAAAAGACTGTTAGGCCTGTATTGCAACAGATACCACACTCCCTTCACAGGCCTCAGAGCTGTGGATACAACCTAGGGATTCTCCAGGCTCCTCCCACCAGTGAATAATCACTAAATAGATACCGTATATAAAACTACGAAATATGATGCCATCTGTGGGGTTCCATGCCTGTAACCCCAGGAGTTGAAGGACGGAGACAAGAGGATTGCTATGAGCTAAGGATCAGGCTAGACTACTGAGTGAGTTCCAAGGCAGACTGGGTCACATAGTAACACCCCAGCTCAAAAACAACCACCAGCAGCAAAACCCAGCACAGCCACAACAAGAAAGGGCACAGAGTCAGAACATCCCTCGGTCCAGCTCTCTATGGCCAAATGATCTTTGACAAGTACGCTAAGAGTTGAGCAGTACAGCAGATGAGGAGGGAAAGGGTTGTCCGTGCCCAAGTCCCATTCTTCAACACGTTTTACAAACATTGACTCTAAGTGGTTCCAAGTCCTAAATGTAAGAAGTATCATTATAAAACGTCCAGAAGAGAGTCTGTGCTGTAAGGTCCGTGACATTGGATTTGGCAGTGACACTCTGGACTGTGACACAAAAGCAGAGGTGGCAACAACGGGCAGACAACACATTTGACCTCATGAAAAGTGAATTTTCCTGTGCATCAAAGGCATTGCCAGCTGTGTCATCCAGCTGTCCCCCTCCAGGATGTAGACAGAGCAAAATCTACATCAATCCTTTCTTTATCACTTGAAGAAGGAAGACATGGAATGTTAAGTGTCCATCAGTGGATGAGTAGTAAAAGAAATCTGACATAGAAACACACTGTAACACAACTGAGCTTTTAAAGGAGTAAATTCTGCATTTTGACACCATGATGGACATGGAGGATAATATGCTAAGTGAACTAAGAAAAATCAACACCTCATGATGTCAGGTCAGTGGGGGATGGTATTGTGTGACTTTTCCTAGGAGATGTGAAGAAACAGCTTTCACCACTGTCCTGGGGTTTTCATTGCTGTGAAGAGACACAATGACCTCTGCAGCTCTTATGAAGAAAACATTTAACGGGGTGGCTTGCTTGAAGTTTCAGGGGTCCAGACCATGAGTGCTGTGATCGGGAGCATGGGGGTGTGCCAGAAACATGGGGCTGGAGCTGAGAGTCCTGCATCTGCAGACAACAGGAAGTCAGCTGAGACACTCAGCAGTCGCCCTGACATCAGAAACCTGAAAGCCCACCCCACAGTTACACATTTTCTCCAGGGCCACACCCACTCCAACAGAGCCACACCTAATAGTGCCACTCCCTATGAGACTATGGGGTCTTTTACTTCCAAACTACCTCAACCACACAGGTGGCAACTATGAGACACCAAAGACAGTTAAAGCCTAGTCTAGCTTAGTGAACCTTAGTGAGCATAACAGTGTGGGTGACTCACAGGCAGCAGCATGGTTGTAAAGCCCATGTCAGAATGTGTTACAACTCATGAAAGACCAGAGAGACCAGCAAAGTCCCTAACGTCCTACATCAGACCCTAGACCCCAGCAGTCTCTTTCTTAACATTACTGTGAATATGGTCTTGTTGGCCTTGTGAACTAAAATTAAAAAGTTTTCTCAGGGATGTCTCTCTGTCTGTCTTTCCTGTTTTCTTCCAGGCTGTAATATTAATGGGTGAAGTTAACAGTGTCCCTAATAGCTCAAATCAGCCAATCAATCCCAGACTGCTTTCTGCCATAGTCCCTCAGGTTACAGAGTCTTGACTCAGGACAGATGGGTGGTTACATTGCTCGGTGTAGCTGACAGATGAAAAGATTACCTAATTTGTTCTAGTCGAATAAAAGCTTGTGAGTCAGACCTGCAAAATCCAAGGAAAGCAGAGTGATTTGACTGCCTGACCCTATCTCCACATTCTGAACTCCAGCACCAGAAATTCCCCCAAACTTCTCCTGAGTCTCTTCCTGTCCTCTCTAGCTACCCTGAAGTACTTTAAGGCTAATCCTGGTCAGCCAATTGCTGACTCCATCCTAGATTCAATGTGGCTTTATTGACACAGTGGATTGGCTGTAAGGACAATTCTCCTGCAACATTTTTTCCTTTTATCTACATAAAAAGGAAAGGCTTCAACTCTAACAATACAAAACTATATACAATAAGAACAGTTACCAAGTAAGAAATACATTTATAATGTCCAGTTCATTAGTATTTAGCAAATTTAAAGAAAATATTCTATTATCTATCCTCCCTTGATGAGTTCAAAGTTTTGTACCTAATTTACTTTCTATCGTGACTAAGGGAAACTGTAAGTATAACTATCTAGTCCTCAACTCCATCAGAGACCCGGGAAGTATATAACATTACCTGAGTAAGCCCGAAGTGCAGAGCAAGAAATTTCCAAAACTATAGAAACGACAGAGACATCTGTTCCTCTGCAACATTGGGCATCCATCTTCAGCTTCCAGACCTAGAATATCTGACAGACTTTTCTGTGAAGCAGGAATGTTTTTAAAGAACTGCCCTGCTCTGAGGCAGACTCTTGTTTCCTGTCTGTCCAGTTTGGACAGCATTCTGTCAGAAGTTGAGGCAAGGGCAGTTTCTTGCCCAAATTTCTAGCTTTTGCCATGAAGAAAACAGACTCCATATGGAGGTTCTTCAGTTATCATTTTATGAAGTGGATTAGTGCTGCCAGGAGCAGACATGTCTCACCATCATGGAAATCCCTGTTACTAAAACATTAAAACATCTTGTTCTGAGTCAGGCAGTGGCGGCACACCCCTTTAATCATAGCTCTCAGGAGGCAGAGGCAGAGGCAGAGGCAGAGAGGCAGAGGCAGAGAGACACAGACAGAGGCAGAGAGGCAGAGGCAGAGGCAGAGGGATTCCTGTGAGTTCGAGGCCAGCCTGGACGACAGAGTGAGTTCCAGGACAGTTGGGGCTACACAGAGAAACTCTATCTCAAAATAACAGTTGTAATCTGTAGGTCTCTAAAATGTTTGAAGACCATCTGTCTACTTAAAATATGTCTCAGTTTGACCTTGAAAACATACTTAGCATGACTGTAAGTTTGATTGTTATATATGTCTAGCAATTAACCTGTATTTCTTTATTATCCTAAATAGTTTTCAAGGACTAGAACTTTACATTTACAAATTAGCACCATTGTTTAAGGTACAATACCTTAAACAAGAAATAGAAACATATAATACAGTCTAACAAAAATAGGGTTAAATTTGTATCAATATACAAAATACCTTACATGAGTAAAAACATATATACAGAATAACAAAAATAATTAAATTTGTATCAGTATATGAAAATCCATACCAATGTAAAATATTTTAGACTAGTGGTTTTTTTAGTTTGAAAGTAGATATAATAATCTACATTTTTATCTTTTTGGGTAAATGCTCAAGAGTAATGTCACTGGGTCTAAAAACGATCATACTGATTTCCAAAATGTCTGTACAAGTTTGCATTCTCTCAAGTAGTTGAGGTGTGTTCCCCTGACTTCTCATCCTCTCCAGTATAAGCTGTCATCAGTATTTTTGATCTTACCATTCTGATAGGTGTGTAAGATATTATCTCAGAGTCATTTTGATTTACATTTCCCTGATAACTAAGGATGTTGAGCACTTCCTTAAATGTCTTTTGGACCATTTGAGATTCTTCTGGTGAGAATTCTGTTTAGCTCTGAACCCCATTTTTCAATTGGATTATTTTCTATTTTGATGTCTAATTTCTTGAGTTCTTTATAAATTTTGGAGATCAGCCCTCTGTCGGATGAGAAGTTGGTGATGATCTTTTCCCATTCTGTAGGCTGTCGTTTTGTCCTATTGACAGTGTCCTTTGCCTTACAGAAGCTTCTCAGTTTCAGGAGGTCCCATTTATTGATTGTTGCTTTCAGTGTCTGTGCTTCTGGTGTTAGATTTAGAAAGTGGTCTCCTGTGCCAATCATTCCAGGCCACTTCCCACTTTCTCCTCTATCAGGTTCAATGTAGCTGGGTTTATGTTGAAGTCCTTGATCCACTTGGATTTGAGTTTTGTGTATGGCAATAGACACGGTTCTAATTGCAATCTTCTGCATGTTAACATCCAGTTATGCCTGCATCATTTCTTAAAGAGCTTTTCCTTTTTCCATTTCACCATTTTGGCTTCTTTGTCAAAGATCAGGTATTCATAGATGTGTGAATTGATATCAGGGTCTTTAATTAGATGCCATTGATCC